CCGTTGCGAGGTCGACGTAGACATGTCTCTACCTTGTAGTATTTTCGGTCGAGTAAATCTCTATTCAAATGAATTTTCAATAGAATCTTTAGCACCTTTGTGTACGAAGACGAAGGTAGTTTCCCCTGTTTTACGTCACTGAAAACTCCCAGTAAGGGCTACAAGAATCCCCCCTCCCCCTTTATGTATTATTTGCGGTTCTATTACTTACAATTGTTAATTTATCAATGAGGTGATATTTAATCATTGCTGGAACAAAAATTTGAGGGATGGGGGCTTGACTACCCCAGACCGCACTCTACTTTTTTTAGGAAATCCATTTGATGTTTTACATGATACGATTCGGGTAATTATTTTTTTTTTATTTTGTACTTCATGACTCCGGTCCACCCCCCCCCCCACCAGTCTTAACTCTACTCATCAACGAGACCTTCCATTTAATATGTCACACGATACCTTTTGAGTAACTATTTAATTTTGCACTTGATGACCCCGGACCACCCCCGGGCTGACCTCTCCTCGTCGAGATCTTCCGTTTGATATGTCACACGCTACTTTTTAAGTAAAGTTTTGATTTGGCACTAAATGACCCCGGACCACCCCCGGGATGACCTCTCCTCGTCCAGACCTTTCATTTGATAAGTAGAACCCTATCCTTCGGGACACTTTTTTTTAAATTTGACCCTGGACCCCCATAAACATAGGTGATTTAAAAATCTGATTTTCCCGCCTAAAGGGTCCCGTGACCAAAATTCAAATGCTGCCTTCTGATTGGTCTAAAGGTTGATGACGTCATTGGCGCGAAATTTGAATCGTGATCTATATAGGCACACTCCACTACTGTTCAGTATTAGATTCTGAATGAATTTATTTAAAATGATATTGTAGTCTAAAGACAAAAATAAATCCAATTACATTTACATTCCTTCTGAAAAGTGGGCCACAATAATCATATCCAAGTTCATCGAATCATGTCGATGTCTAAAGGTAAGTTCCACAAATGGTGGATCTATTGATTTTAAATCACACACATAGTTTAGTCCCACATAATGACTCGTCTATCGGAATTGAACAAGAGGTTTTAATTCCTCCATCCTCTAAAGCAAAGCCTACAAATAAAAGAAACTAGCTGAAATCCCGCGCAAGCACGAGGGAAATTAAGATTTTTTAATGCTAACAGAACTATTCCAAAAACTATATCTCAGATTCAACTGACAGTTTATATAGCATGACGAAATACTTCACAGTCCCGTAATTAGTTTCGGAGTTGAAATTGATACTTATAAGAAATACATTTCCTAATATTTTGGGATTTTTTTAACTTGTATGAATATCAATTTCGTTAGAGGCCAGTTCTTCTTACATGTTATAATTGTACTATGTTATACATCATGTACTACAGGTGCTCATTGGCATTTTCTCTCTACATGTTAGAAACTTTCGAAATAGATTTTGAGCTAAATTATTGCTTATCATACTTCAGATGATCTGTTTCCATTTACAACACGGATAAGAGAACGGATTTGTGCATTTTACTTTAAATTTGTCAGCATTTTAAAATATTGAATAAAAACGCTTAGTTTTCATCCCAAATGTACAAAAGGTCGAAGAGGTATAAGTTTTAAAAATGAAAGACTGTATGAAGAAAATCAACTGAAATGTACGCATCCAAGAACACATTTTTAAAGCATGTAAGTAAATTATTAAAAATCAAATTATACTTTTTTCTAGGTCTAAACAAATAACCATGCCCATTTATCGACATTTATTCATAAAACATAAGCATAACTTACTAAGATATATTCACAAACTCATTGTGCTACCAGTTTCTAAAAATTTATTTCCATGCCCATTCGTGATAGACAATCGCCTCGATTTTCTCTTAGACAGAGTGTTCGATGCCACCTGACTTTCTAAAACTTTCAACGAATAGCGAGAGGGGACATAAACGGAAAGGATTTGCACATTTTGTTTTTAATCAATGAACAAAGCTTATTTCTTTTATATCACTCAAATCAAGTTTTGATTGAATGATTCATTAATGACGTTTTTGAAATAAATAAGAGCTTGATTGTAAGTTTTTTTTTAATGCCAGTTACTTAGATCCGCCACCACTTTACTCTCTTCAGTGCTATTTCGAGGCTGTTATTCGAAAATGAAAGTAGACTTTTAATTAATTTTACGGTAAATAATATGCGAGTGAAATCTGAATATAGTTTACGGAAATCACTTTATACCAAGTGTATTCCTAGAGGCTTAAGTAAGAACTCTTGTGCAGCCGTTTCAGAGTTTAATCGCTTTGTTAATTTATGATTATAAGTATAAGATAGTGATGTGAAAGTCATTTATTCTATCCCCGCTTGAAATTTTTATTACGGATTGCCATTGTGCACCTCCTATTTCACATTTTGATCCGGCATTTTTTTTTTTGGTTTCCGATAGCAAAACATGGACACTGCTATAATATTCATATTGGAGACGGGGGTATTATTAAGTGAGCTCATTGCTCACAGTACCTATAGTTTTGATGACATGCTACTTAAAATTATTGAAAATGCACATGAATAATTCAACAAATACATAAAAGTAATTGATTTTGTACTTGGGATTAATGAAAAAGAATTTTAAATGCCCCCGTGTTGAAATATCAGTATAACTACGAAAGACAAGTGTTATGGAAGTGGAGGTGTGCTTAAAATTTTGCATTCCTTTGCAATTTTTCACGGGAGATGGATCTGATCCAATCATAGCATCAAATGCATCTTAAAGAAACAGATAGTGTATGATGTAATCTCACGATTGACTGCTATTAAATTGTACATTATATTTTAATTTCATGTGCGAATGAATATCAACCAAAAACTCAATTACCCGAACCAAGGATACTTAAAACATGACTCATGGTGTTATTGCCAATTATTTTGACAAAAGTTTGTGTATCATCTGTCTTTCATTGAGAAATAAATAACACTTACTATTTTGACATTGAAAATAAGGTGCTCAAAACCTATATTTTACAAGGCTGATTCCTCCACGTTGTTTCAATTTTGAAATATTAACAGACAATTAAAAATCAAAATACATTGCATTTTTAACATTACTTTAACCTTAAAATAACAACAAATATTCAAAGTTGAAAAAAATTGGAATTTTCGACACTGTTTCAACGTTGAAACACCGAGGAACATGCAACGTTGAAAGCAAGTTGCAGCCTCAACGTTGATTCAACGATGGAAAAGGTTAAGGATTCAACGTTGAAGCCCCAACATTGAAACAACGTTGAAATATAGTTGCTCAATATTGAAGTTTATATTCCACGTACTCAATATAGTTCCTCAACGGTGCAACTTATTTTAAACTTACTCTCGGCGTTGTAACACGTTGCGTGCCTTCTGGGTTGGAAAATGTAAATATTTTAGCATGGAATTCATATAGTTATTTATAATTATTCATGGCAGTATTGTCCGCTGTAGTGTGACATGAATAAATTTGCAAGATGGCGTCGTGTTATAGCTTCCAGTACTCGCTTCTATTTTCAATGACGTATTTCTGCGTTAATATTTGACTGGAAACGTGACTTCTTGACGACAAGACAAGTCGCACCCAACACTAATAATGACAACTCGCTCCCAATTTAGAACACCTTGCCCTTATTTCTTTCTTGTAAATTGCAAAGGAAAAACTGTTATCAATTTTTTTATATGCAAATGTAAATTATAATAAATATATTTACAATTGTAAAAACATGCCTTCATAAGGAAAAGAAATGACAGCCGATGAGACAGAATTCACAATAAATCTATCTACTGCGGACAATACGAGTTGTAAAGTTCAGAATTTTACTGAAATTAATTGCCTAACAATACAGAATTTTTCGAAGAAGGTGTGAAGCCAAGGGAATGCAGAAAAATGCCAGGTGGGTGGATAGTAAAAGAACTGCACGGGATAATAGAGTGCTTCTTTGAAGTGTGAAATGGATTACAAGACAGACTCTGAAAGATCTTACGAGTAGATTGATTGAAAGAACACAATGCAAAGTATCTTAACATACAGAAGGTCGACGATTGTCTGAACATGGTTACAAACGTAATCAAGTTTCCAAAACCAGTACGGTTTTTCGAGTTAAGCGTGCTAAAAGGGGGCTACATATTGTACATATTAGACTGTACATGTACTGTTGAGAGCCACTGATAATCAGTTATATTTAGGGACGAGACAATTCTCAGACTTTGAATTAACAGAAAACTGGTTTGGAGACGATCCAACGTGGGAAAGAGTCCATGATTTAAATATTCAATGATAAATACACATTTGAGTCAAAACTTACAGTCCAGTTAAAATATGTGTATTTAAAATTGCGTTGAACATTTTATTACTACATGTATCTCCGAAAGGACAGCACGAGTATGCAGTGACATGACGACACTTTTGTTCATTATGACGTCTTATCTGACTTTTTCAGAGATTTAAACTGTGATATCCATAACCTACTCCCGCATATTTTGTGGACTTAATCTCAAACAGAGGGTTTCCATTTAACCATATATCATGAACAACATGTCGATAGAGTCAATTTCTGCAACAGTAAGAATTCTATATTAAATTATAATATATTACATTTTCCCATAGATTTGTAATTTCAGCCTTATTTCCAAAAGTACTTTGGACATACCTTTTCCTCTTGGTCATAAGTCCGCGGAATCTCTATTTCTGTTCAATCTGTTAATAACACTCTCATTATATGCCTTTAATCTGTACTAAGTTCAATGGGACGAATTTCCACGGAACATTTGTGACCGCGTACACAGCGTAAATTAATACCACGTGGAAAAAAGTACTTCTACAGTAGCTCAAGTCAAAACTACTAAATTTGACCCGTGTTTTGCCCGTTATGGTTAATGAATTACAGAACAGTCTATTAATGCGCAACGGATACCCCAACACATTGAGTGTTATGTTAATTTTTCGAGACCCTTGTACAGATTGTAATAGGAGTTTACCTTGACAATTGTCCCCGACATAACCAAGCGTACAGTTACAGGTGTAACCTCGTATTCTGGTATTGTCTGCTACACAGGTTCCGTTCTGACAATGATGGCCGTCACACACGTCAACTATAGGAACTAATTTGTAAAAGCAGTTGTGTAAAACTCATTAACTAAATGTGATAATAGGATTTTAAAGACGCTCGATCCTGATGTTTAAAGTCTTAAACTTTTTTTGCCAAGTATATTTTTAGTTTGTACATATATAGCTTAATTAAAATTGAAACAAAAAAATGGGGGTCAATATGCTTCCTTTTGCGCTGCAGTACATTTAATATGACCTTTTTTTTTCACTGAAATTTGTGTCTTAATTAAAGATTACATCTTCCACGTTTTCCCTCAAACATTGTTATCCAATTAAAGCATGAAATAAAATGAATTCTAAGCCTGTTTAAAAAAGACACTTTAAAATTCTGACTAAGAAAAAGTTTCAATTTTCTTCGCATAATCAGTTATTTGACCTTTCTGCACTAATAAAATGTGATTTTTCTAGCATTGAAAAATTTAAAAAGCAAAAAGAGTATTTTAAAGACAAACTTTTTTCTGAATTTAAGCAGAAAGGTCAAAATTATCTTGAATATTTAGAAAAGAACATCAAAAGTTGGGGAATATGATATCAATTTGAAGATATTACTTTTAAAAAAAGTGTCAATTTTACGTTAAAATTGGCTCAATTTTCCCCCGGATTTTCAGGATATATTTACTATATTCTATATACTTTGTTGATAGAATTCATAAGAAATAATTTAATAGATATTTCAGAACCAGCATAAAACATTTAACTGCAAAAAACAGCTTTGAAAGTGTGCAACCAGCATGGAAAAATAGGATCTAAAATTAACAGTACTGTTATAGTTCAAAAGGGTAAATAGTGATCAGTTTCTTCTAAAAACCCTTCCGCCACAAAATATTGTCCATAGCTTTATTCTATTTGAATGGAATTTAAGGATAAATAACACAAACAAACTTTTTTTCAGAAATCAGCATTATTTCTCATAGATTTACATTTAAATTGACAACCTGAACCTGTTTACCAAGTTAGATTGGGAGAATTATATAAGATTTTGTGATAAGGTTAAAAAAATGTGCAACATTTTGTATGGAATTATATAGAAGGCAAAACAAAATCTCATATTTAAGCACCAAGGAAAACCTACGATTTCTTTATATTTCAGGGATTTATTATTTATGTCATTTCAAATCAAAATCAGTCAAAAAATATATATAACCCCGCACATCCATTTTTTGTTTGTGGTAAGTACCCTTAATCGCGGCTTTTTTTAAAATATAGTTCAATTTGCATTGTAGAATTTAGATTTAATGTTAGAACTAAAAAAAATGATGCAGAATTTTATAAATAAACGACATGACCAAAATCCACTCAAAATCTCAGGATCGAACGTCCTTAAGTAAGAAATTAAACTTTCAAAAATATCATTTGATATGTTTTCTCAAATCTAAAAACCATAAATAAGAATAAACAAGATATATACAAAAGTAATTCATCCATTCATACATGTTTACTGTATACAGGGAAATTTTCGCCCCCGTTTTATTTTCGCCCCTTTCGCCCTCTTCTTGATTGGGCGAATTTAAAACGGGGCGAACTCAAATTGCACAGCATAAATTCTTATTCAGAACTTTGACTGGGAGAATTTTAAACAGGGATAAATTGTCCGCAAGCACAAAAGGACGATAATAGCCCTGTATACAATATATATATGATATTATTTTGTTAAATTATTTGTGTTCATATATCACAGTTGCAGTCTTTGGCCTAAATAAAAGAGGAAGATATTCATAATTCAAAAGTTTATACAGGGTGTAGTTTCAAATAGTGCTAATGCCCCTAAAAAACAACAATAGCAAGAGGAATTACATATGTATATTAAGGTTCTGAAGTCAAGCATAGGTATGAAGTATAAAAAATATGGAGATAGGGAAGACTATACGAGATCAAAAATCCATTAAACAATATTAAATAGGAGTAGAGAAAAGACGGACCTTCAAAACATCTGATCGAGTTGGTTTTAATGCATTTTCAACATATTTGCATAGACAAAAGTATCATTTAAAAAATGAGTACAAAATGTGTTTCATCATTTCATGCAAAGACACTTAATAGATGATATTACTTTTTAATTTACTAAGTACCTTATAAAAGGGAATTTTTTTACAATTGATGTTTAAATCTTTATTAGAAACAAACGTTCTTATCCATTTAATTACCTGCTTTTTATATAATGACGTTACCGTCCCTCAGGAATGACATTGAACAGATCTTAAGTACTTTAACGAAAATTGATCGAAGGCAGAGCGAAGATTAAACACAATCTAATTGTTTTATATAAAAAAAAACCTACTGATTTAAAAATGCATCCTTTTCCAAACTCCGTTTTCCATTTTATTTTCCTGGTACATGTATATTTTATTGTGGTATACTTATTAGATTCTTACCTTTAAGATGTATGAGCAACAGTGCTATAAAAGCTATAACGGCAACGGTCAGAAATACACCAAGGAGTAAAGAAATAATCGTTAGTTTCTGCTTTTGTACTCCACCTTTATAATTCTTCCCATCTACATAAGTAAAAGAATATTTAATAAAAATGAAAGAAAATATATTGACATATACAGAATTAGCTGAAATAGCTTACAGGTATTTAACACGAATAATCCATGTTAATCTTAATGTTTTTTTTTCAAAATATAATACTGAAATTTCACAATTGTATAACTTTCATACCTATTGTACTATTCTTCTTTATCGAAGACATTGTTTTGATGTAAGATAAGCTCTGCCTTGCTTTCCTCTTCCTGTAGAATACGCACTGTAACCTTTTCCCATACTATATAAAGAACTAAGCAGTGATCAACGCTATGCTTTTATAGAGTAATTAGATCAGGTGGCAAACGTAGATATAAAATGTTTACGTCCCAGTTGGCACACTTTGACACAAGTGTGAAAAAGCAATATAACATTTGGTAAAAAAAAAAAAAAAAAACAGCGAAAAAATGTATCCTTTTAAAGCCAGGATTGAAAAAATGCAAGACTATGCTATGACTGACGATTTTTAGCAAATGTCCAAAACTGTACCAATGTTACTCAAAGTGTAAATACAGATGTTATTTAAGTAGAAACTTTTGGCATTCCACTGGTCAGAATGATCAATGATGTAACAAGCAAGAATTTCGGTTACAAATTAGTAGATTTTTGTCGATTTTTGTGTCAACAACAATCTTTTTTATTCTTAACGGTCGATATGGAAGTGACAAATCTACAGGTGCTCTTACATGCAAGAACAGAAAGACTGTTTGTTATATGGTATATAGTGTACACTTATTTAATTTTTTAAGCAAATTTCAAGGTTGTAGACTTTTGTAACTTATATTCTGACGCACACGACCCCCCTGTCATTCAGGGTAACGGTTTCTCAATGTGTTCAATGTAAGGTGGAGGTAGAGACTCAAGAAAAACCAGTGTGAAATATTTTGTGCCGATAAAGCAGACGATTTTCGTGGTAGTATAGATTGCATTTAATCTACAACTGTGAAATTAGAAGAAGTTGGGGATCTATTGCATTTGCAAAATGGGTTGGAAAAAGAGCATTTGAATAATGCAATGTCAAAAATCTGCAATGTGTTTTTAAGCGCAGTCAAAAAATTGCTTGGGATTAAACATAAAATTTAAAATGCAAAGAATAAAAACCCGATAAATCTTGGTTCAATCGTTATTGTAGAAAAGAGAGATAAAAAATTCCACTTAGCTAAAATTAGCTAAACGAATGCATAATAGATTTAAGACCCAAGAATCTAGAGATAATCTAAAACTAGCTAGCAAAGAGTATAATAAAGTAATGGATTCATCAATAAAATGACTACAGACAAGATCTATCTCAGAAATTGAAAAAAATGCGAACAAACAACACAAAGGAATACTGAAAAATATAAAAAAAAAAAAAAAAAAAAAAAAAGCCAAAATGAAAATAACACATGTACAGCTGATTTACGGGGGATGTACAAGCCATATTGGATTTATTCTGGTCTAAAATAAGAAATACCAAGAATGCGCTAAATACTCTACCAAACTAGCTCAAAGTTACTCAAAGAGCTAAGGCCCTCATTACTTCCTGTTTGATACCAAAATTAATAAACAATTATTTTGATTTTTCAATTGTTTGAATTTGGTGAAAATTAATCAAGTTAGAACTGCGCACTTACGGCATTAATGACATGAAAAATGCAATGAAAATGATGTCATTTCGGTTCATGAATGATATTGCTACAACCATTTGTTTTCCTTTTCTCTTGCCAATATCCATAATTCTTGAAAATTAAATTTTTTCATATGTTGGTCTTCCTGAAGCCATTTGTTCATGTTGTCCGCCATTTTTCTGTCACACAAAGTATAAATAGCAATGTTTTTAGAATAAATGCGACCGTAACAACATCTAGACAAGACATTTCTAAGTAATTACTCTGAGGTTATATAACTTACTCCTTTTATTTGTTGCATTGCATCGTCTGATCGATGACAAAAACGCGATTTTTAACCCCACTCTTGCAAGTGGGGAAAAATGTTCTGTTCATCGCTCGAGTTTCCTCGATCATTTCATTCCACTGACCACGCGGATGGTATGTGCACATATCTTCTGTGATAGATGCATTTATTAAGGTCTTCCGCTCAGGCTTTCGTTTCCGGATAAAGGCTCAGAGACCAAAAAAGCTGGAGCAGAATTATTACTGATTTTAGGTAACAGAAGGATTGAAGTTGTTCACATCGGTTTTTGTTTTTCGATTTCTGTATTCACAATGGCGCTATATAGGGATAAAAAATATTTTCTTAAGACATAATGAACAAAAGGTGTGCACAATTGCAAGGGCTTTCGTATAATAATATTCAAAAGGGGCTGGCCCCTATGATAAGGGATCAAGGGACCTTGAAAGTTTTTGCTTTATAACTCAAAAACGGTAAATATTTCGAAATGACTATCGATTATAAAGTTGTGCTTTATAACATCTTACTGATCTAATGAAATTGTAATTGTGTTCGAGTCTTGTTTTAAATGAGCTTGTACATGACCTATATATGCACAGGTAATTATTTTCACTCAACACGTAAATGAGAGCTTCTCATGCGTGTAACCAAAGCAAGCTTACTATAAATAATAAACATTGTGTTTGTGCTTTTTTCTTACAAATTATCTTGTTTATTCACTAACAACTTTCCCTTTTATTTCATTTTTTTTAAAAATCGTATAAACCAAGTCTACTAAAAAGGGAAGAAAATATAATCTTTTATTCTTATCACATAAAAGCAAACTATATAGTGAGAAAATAAAACATAACTAAAAAGCGCATATACTATTCACAGCCATTAAGTGCACGGCTTTAACATTCACCTTGTTTGTTCACAATTATATAACGCGCCTCCCCCGATAGCCGGGCGGGGCAAACTCGGTCACCGGGAATCAATCGTCGTGTGATCCAGCGACCTACAGTCATACACAAAAAAAAAACCACCACAGAATGGTTAAATTAATTCTTGATAAAATTGTTCCTTCTTATACTATCTCTGTCCCATGAAAATATTATTTTGTTCGAGTCTTACGTATGATGGAAAAGATAGTTAGATCCGTATTCACCGTAAACAAGGCTCCATTCTCATTTTGATATTGAAGAACTTTTTATGCGTATAATTGAAATAAACTTGCCGTAAGTAATAAATATTTTACCACGCTGTATCATATTTTTTTAAACTAGGTGTTCAACGTGTTCTTTGTTTCCCGTTCAGAGTATTCGATGGTATCATTTTCCTTTTATTAATAAAGATCCTTCCAAGAGAAAGAGTTATAGAAAATAAGTACGAAGATCTTTTATTCGTTTGAATATAAACACAAACAATTTGAACGGAAACAATATAAGCCCGGATTTCATAAAGAAAAACTTTCAAGAGTCAAATAATACACAATTTTTTAATGCGGGATTCTCATATTCACCTGGAACCCAGATTCTAAGTGTGTTTTCATTACGTAATCTATCTTTCGATTACACGAGGCCGAGAAATTCTAAAGCGACACACCGCGGTGAACCATTGACCCCGCAGTCATAGGCAAATAATTGGTATATACAAACCATTCTACAACAGTAAGATAATATTATTTTCTCTAAGTAAATTAAATCTTTCAAAAAATATCTTAAAATGTTTTAGGTTTGACTTTATTACAAAATGCTGGGGCATTTATTTTACATGTACATTAATCAGTCTTCAATTCTTAAATATTCGTTAGATCCATGTGTAATTTGACGATTCATAGCGCAAGGACTGGCGATCTGCAGTTACTTTACTTCAACCAATATTTAATAAAATGCACAAGCTTTGCCGGCTCTTTTCACACACAAATAAATCTGTTTTTAACACTAGTTTTCCGAAACACATTATTTTTTCATCACAGATATTAACCATGGCTATACCAATTTTAAACTTTTAAAGAGAATCTACCGAATCAAAAGGATAGAATTACACTCAATGAAATGGACTAAACATCGATAAGTAACACCGGCACGTGTAAACTTATAAGTGACTTCTGTGCTGCACACTGTCTATTAATTTATATTACAGGTTTTATAGTAAAGTTCAAGAAATAATGATTTTAAAGCAATGAACTTATTATTTGTTTTACAATTAATTTAAAACCCGTATAAATAATTTTAGTATAGTGTGCTAACATTGTAATTTTGTTCCGTGATTAAATATCAGTAGCAGGTTATACAATTTACATTTACATTCATGTTCCGTGATTAAATATCAGTAGCAGGTTATACAATTTACATTCAAGTAGTAATAAACCCGCATATGTCCAGAATCGAAAATTTAAGAACTTATTTACTGGGGTAAAAATCTTATCTGAATATTACAGACTTATCATGTAATTAAAGGCTTTTACAACCTAAATTAAACTGTTAAAATCATAACCGGCAACAAAGTCAAACCATTTGTATCGTTCACCGTATGTAACTCAGTATTTTCTTTAAAATGATGAACTTATATCTAGCGCAAATTACTTCCCTTAGTTTAAAAAATACACGTACAAGAGAAAGCGAGTGAGAGGCATTTCATTCAAGTACATTCGACTTTTTACCAGCGAGTCCCTGTATCAAGTATATTGTCTAATTTTTATTCTATTAAACATTATCTCCCTTTCCTATTTAAATTTAATTTATTTGATTCTCACCCCCTTTACCCAAACTTTGAAATAAATGAGGAGAGATATTTTATTTGTGGACTTTTGAGTCTAATTTTATTGAAAGTAAAGCTATTACCTAAAATACGTATTATGGAGAGGATTTTCAAACCCGTCTATCTTTCATAAATAGAAACTCCATGTTGTTTGAATATTAATATCCGATGATGTTTTAAAATACCTCAATGTTGTTTTTCTGACCTGTGAAAAAATGGTGCGAGATAATGCAAATTTCAAACATCTTCATCGGTCAATGACAGAAAAGTTGTAAAATTCCTGTCAGGGTTATGAACTTCTAATCAC